CCCCGACTTGTACATCCACATCCTCGCAGCAGGGGGGCCCAGGGAGACACCAGTACGTCGACACGAACTCCAGGATCCCCCGGATGTTTCCGCACATCCTGGATGTTCCTCTTCCCCCTCCATTCCCCATACGGTGGGGGCGTTGGATAAGGAACCCTTGGATAAGGAATCCAGGGTCTGGGAGCCCGCGGAATTCAAATCGTGAACTTGCCATGGATATCGCCGGCGCCCTCATCAGAGAAGGAACGCTCCAGGGTCTGAAGCCTCCTGGACACCTTCCTTAACGAACGCCCCCACCGTGTTTTGAACTATTCTCCTGGGAATCATCGTTTACTTGTGCTCGTGCTTTTTATCCAGCAGTGGCTGCCTCTGTGGGAGACCCCACCCGCTCGAAACAAACGCCCAAAAACCGCCAAGATCTACTCCACCGGGAGTGGGAGGAGGGGGGGGGGTTGGTGGGGGGGGGGGGGGGGCCGCGCCGCTCGATAAAACAGTGAATAAAACAACGAGCACTATCCTGAACTGTCCTCCTGGGAATCAGCGCTCGCTCGTGCTCGTGCCCTGTATTTGTTTCCCCTCCCGAGACGCCTCTGCCTCGCCATGGCCTGGTCCAGGAAGCCCTCGGAGAACGGGTCGAGGCCCTCCGGCCGCCAGCGCCGGAGCCTGCGCCAGGGCTGGACCTGAACGCTGTTTTACTCCTCCTCCTCCCTCCTCCTTCTCCTCCTGCTCCCCCCTCCTCCTCCCTCCTCCTTCTCCCATCCTCCTCCCCCCTCACCCTCCTAGCTCCTCGCATCTCCCTCCTGCTCCTCCTCGCTTCTCCTCGCTGCTCCGCCAATCCTAGTCCTCCTCCTCCTCCTCCTCCTCCTCCTCCTCCTCCTCCTCCTCCTCCCTCTCCTCCTCCTCCTCCTCCTCGTCCTCCTCCTCCTTCTCCCGTTTTGTTTCGTTTTGTTTCTCGTTTCGCTCGGCCTGTTTTCCTGTATCTCCCTCCCAAGACGAAAAACAAAGCACAGCCGAAGTCCAGCAAAACAGCGTTGAAGGTCCAGCCCTAGCCTGTACTCCTGGGACTGCTGGCTCTTCTTCTCGGTCAGCTGCCCCCTCAGGGCGGCGTGCAGCCACTCCATCTCCACGTTGTGGTTCCTGGGGAAGCAAGAGAAGATACCGATACCGCTAAGTCGGGCATGTTCTCCTACTGTGTGGGATTAGACAAAAAATACCAAACAATGCTCAAACATAGCCAAACATGTTAAATGAAAAGGTCCCCTGGCAATTTTTCACTATTTCGGAATGTTCCTCCTGTAGAGGTCGTCGTCGTCGTCGTCGTCGTCGACGTCGTCGTCGTCGTCGTCGCCCTCCCCTCAGGCGCGCCAGCCAAAGCGAAACCAAAGCGAAATCGAGCAACGTCGTAGCTGAGTCGAAAAAGGAAAGCAAATTGAGCAACGTCGTAGCTGAGTCGAAGGGAAGCCCCTTCCCTTTGATCCCTTCCCCGCCGGGGGGGGGGGGGGGGGTCCCGGGGGGGGGGGGGGGGGGGCGGATACGCATCCCCCCGGGATGTCCCGGGACCTAGAAAAGCCCCCAGACTGGCCAAGAGTGCCCCAAGAGGCTTCCAAGACGGCTCCAGAGGGCCCCGAATCGCCGAACCATCGGTCGAAGACGCCAAAGTAGCCTCCAGACGGCCCAAGAGATTGCCAAGACGCTCCAAGAAGTCTCCAAGAGAACTCCCAAGAGGGCACGAAGAGGGAAAAATCAATGATTCCCTTAAAGTTTTTGACAGATTTTGGCGTTCTCGCCGTTTCAACTTGCCGACGCTCCAAGACGGCCCCAGATGCCCCCAAGATTGCCCCAAGATAGCCCAAGAGGCCTCAAAAGAGCCCCAAAATGACCCAAGAGAGCCTCAAGACCGCCCAAGATGCCTCCAAGATGGCCCCAGAGGCTCCCCAAACGGCTCCAACAGGGTGCCCAGACGGGGGGGCCGACGAGCCCTCGGCGACAGAGGCTCCCAAAAAGCCCCAAGATGCCCCCAAGAGGCCACCACGAGACCCTCAAGAGGCCCCCAAGAAGCCCCAAGAGGCCCCCCCCGCCACATTAGAGAACGCATGGGTCGCCCTCCAGGGTCGGCGGCACCGGCCGTAAGGCCGTCGCAATAAATGAAAAGGTCCCCTGGCCATTTTTTACTATTTCGGAATATTCCTCCTGTAGAGGGACATACCCGGCTTAACGATGCCGCTGCTCCCCGGACATCTGCCAGGGCGCCTTCTGATCCAAGCGTCGAGGAGAATCCAGCCGTGGCGACGAGGGCTTCCCAGGACGAGCAGCGGCGTCGGTACCTTTTCTTATGCTCTGAGCTCCGATTGTTGGCCCAGATCAGCTGCTCGGGGGTGAAGCCGTCGGCCGCCGCCGTGGTGACGTCGGCCCCGCGCTCGACGAGCCACTGCAGGCACCAGGCGGTCCCGTAGCGCACCGCGTAGTAGGCCGGCGTCTCCCCGTTCACGGTCTGCGCACTGAGCTCTCCTGGGGGGCACCGATCGACTCAATGCAATTTCTGCCAAGTGCTCTGAATGGCAAAGTGATGCAATTCAAACAAGCGCGGGTAAACGGCGGGAGGTCGCCAAATGCCTCGTCATCTACTTCGTGACGCGCATGAGTGGATTAACGGGATTCCCACTGTCCCTATCTACTATCTTGCGAAACAACAGCCGATGGATCGGCGATAGGCCCCCGATAGCGAAGCCGCACGCTCCTGGTCGAAGGGCTATCGGCGACCAAGGCGCGATCGGGGTCGACGAATTCCTCCCTGAGCCTGTCATCCCCTGGCGTTGCCCCCGATCTAGGGAAACGAAGAATGACATAAAACATAAAAGCTCGGAGGTCCGCGCGGATTTCTCGGATCCGCGCGGGAGCGCGCGGAGCGCGCCAGGGGCGGCGCCGTAGGCGCCGCCAGGGGGTTCCAGCGCCGATCCGAGAAATCCGCGCGGACCTCCGAGTCTTTAAGTCATATCATTCTTCGTTCCCCTACTATCACCCACCAGCGTTGCCCCTGATCTCCCTCGGAGCAGGACTGCAGCATGGCCATGTCCCCGAACATGCATGATGGGCCCAGTTTCCACCACCACCACCATATGTATGAGAGGGAGGAGGAGGAGGAGGAGTAAGAGGAGGAGGAAGAGGAGGAGAAGGAGAAGGAGGAGGACGACCTCCTCATCCTCCGTTCTCCCCCGTCCTACACACGGTAGCGGTGTTGGAAACTTTGCCCATCGATGCAGGCGACGTGCGCGGGGCCCCGGCCGAGCTGGTTGGTGAGTCCATCGAGCAGGCCGCGGGAGCACGCGTAGCGGTAGTCCTCGGGGCCTGCGCTGACGCCGCTGGACGGGTGCGCGACGGTTGGATGCTCGGTCGGGGGACATTCCCGGGTCCGTGGGGAAGCTTTCTTGTGCTTGCAGGCTCCTGAGGCACACCTCACGAGTCTGTTCGACTCTACTTCGACTCTGGCTCGACTCCAGTTCGACTCCAACCCGACTGAGGTTCGGCCCGAGGCGACGGATGTGCGACGCAGCATCGACGCAAGAGTGCGAGTGGCATCGACGCAGCATCCGACGCAGCGGAGCCGCTCATAGGGGAACGAAGAATGACATAAACATCAAAACTCGGAGGTCCGCGCGGTCTTCTCGGATCTGCGCTGGACCCCCCTGGCGGCGCCTCTGGCGCCGCCCCTGGCGCGCTCCGCGCGCCCGGGAGGGGGTCCAGCGCCGATCCGAAACATCCGCGCGAACCTCAGAGGTTTTATGTTATGCCATTGTTCGTTCCCCTAGCTCACGCCACTCTTGCGTCGATGCTGCGTCGGACATCTGTTGCCTCGAGTCGACCCTGAGTCGAGCTGGCGTCGAGCTGGGGTCGAAGTATAGAGTCGAACAGAGTTGTCAGGTGGGCCTCAGGAGTCAGAAAGCAGAGAAAAGCTTCTCCACGGACCTCTCCTGGGGTGCGTCCTGACCAGGATTCCGACGAGAAGCCAGTGGTGACGAGAGAAGTGTAGCGGCATCGGTAGCTTTCCTCCTCTGACGGGAGTGTAGGCCTCCTACATGGGGTCGGAGTAAATGGGGTCGGAGGGTCGCGCCGCATCGGCGATGCATCGGCGATGCATCGCGATGCACCTGCGACGCATCGGCGATGCACGGGTGATGTCGGCATGAAGAAAATCTTGCTCTACATCGAGCCACATCGCCGATGCATCGGCGATGCGGCGCGATCCTCCGACACCACCTACTCTGACCCCATCATGGGAGAACTGGAAGGAAGGTCCCCAAACGTAATTTACAACCAACAGCGGCCGCTGTTGAGCAGGGAGCGTTTGGCCTCAAATGGACAACCTCCGCGGCGATACCGACAGCGAGTCCTGTCCAGAATGGGCAGGAACTGCTGTCGGTCTGTGTCCCCAGTCTTTCCCTACGCACCCCGAGATCGTACCGAAGGAAGGTCCCCGACACGAACATCCGGCGATGGGGTGCCTGACCCACCCGGGCAGGTCGTACTCCGTGAGACCCCGGTGGCCGGGGCGGTTCTCGGCCATGCCCCGGGCATGGCCCCCGTAGCGGGCGTCCCACGTCTCGCCGGCAAGGGACTGGGGCTCGCGCGCGGGCTTTCTCGGTCGGCGGCGTCTCGGATCCGAGCTGCGGGCGGGCCACGCTGGGGCGCAGGGAAGAAAGCGACCGCGCGCGGCCAAGGGGCCCGCAGAGCGCCAAGCTCTTCGCGATCGTGGCGGAGCAGGCCCGCCGCAGAGCTGGGGGGGCACGCAGAGCCTGCGTGCAGGCAGGCACTGGGGGCGATTGCCCTGGGGCTGCCCTGAGGCCCAGATCTGTGACGAGAGGCTTCTTCGGCCTGGGCGACGTTCCCCCAGTTCCGGCCCCGGGGCGATCAAGAGTGGAGCAGGGAAAGAAGAACCACCCCCAGGAAGCGGTCGGGACCTCTGGGGCTGCGGATTGAAAACGTCACATCAGAGGGCCCAATGCGCCGAAAGGGCAGGCCTCAGAGGCCGAAGATGCCCCGAGGCCACGACTCGCTGTCTCCGAGAGAAAAGCGGCATCAAGATGTGAACTCTCGGAGGTCGGCGAGGAGTTCTTGGACCAGCGCTGGACCCCCATGGCGGCGCCGCGGGCGCCGCCCCAGGCGCGCTCCGCGCGCCAGGGAGGGGGCTCCAGGGTAGATCCAAAGAATCCTCGCGGACCTCCGAAAGTGTGTGTTCGCACACTTCATGAATCCCGCCAGCCCTCTGAGCAGGGGTGGTACAACGAGTTCCCCCCTTCCTCTCTCCAAAACCCCTTCGTCCTCTGCTCGGGGAGGGGGCGCCACTGCTCCTTCTTCATGTACCCCCCCCTTTTCCATCCGAACGGCGACAAACCCCGGACAATGCGCCCCCCCTCCCCCACCATCCCCTCGCCATCGCTCGGACGTCTATTCCCTGTGCTTCGTTCGGTTTCGTGCGTGGCTTTTCGCCAAATAATCAAGGATGCTCCTCGATTGTCCTCGCCGAAGGAAAAATGCACACGTCCGAGCGATGCCAAGTCCCTGGCAAAAAAAACAATGCAAAGTGCAGCTTGCGGCCAAGACTTTCGGGGTCATGCTCGGGGGAGCACGAGCACTCTGCATTGCTATGCTACAGGGCAGGCGGGGGTGTCGGCACATGGCCTACGGGGTGCAGGGCCACCATCCCTGTCAGAAAAAGCAATACCAACTGCACTTCAAAGCTGAATCTGGCAGGGCTGAACCTAAACGGTGTTTTTCGGTTTCGTTTGTGTTCGTTGTCCATCGCTTTTGTCTCGAATCCGCCTTTACCGAAAAACGAAATCGAAACGAAAACGGCCCACGAAATCGCCAAAACACCATTTAGGTCCAGCCCTGATCTGGATCATACGCGGGCACTCCGCGATCACTTTGCACTGGTTGTTTAAAGGGACGGCGGGGGTGCTGGCAGATTGCCTGCTGTGTGCAGGCCCACCAAACACATCATGATGGCCATTCCGGCGCAATGAAGCATTAGTTTGCGGGAAGGATGGTGGGGGCCACCATGTTTCCCGATGTGCTTGGGCGCGCCTGGCGCAAAGAAGACCGCTGAATATGCTGAGACTCGGGTACCACTTATGTGTTGGGGGGAATTCTGTGTTGGGAGGGCCGGTGGGAGTGAGCCAAACAGCTTGCGCTTGTGAGCATCATTTATCCGATCCCTATCCCTGCAGCGGCGTGGCCTGGACCCCACTGGCCGATTTACCCCCCTAGATGGGGATATTGGCAGTTCCCTTCGGGTTTCGAGGGGTGTATCCCCAACTGGGGGGGTACTTTGGTGGGGGTATCGAAGGGGATGGGAATGGGAATGGGGGTCGGTTACACGATACTGAATCTGGGAGGGGTTCCCTCACCCCTCGCCCTACACCCTTCCCTGCGTATTTTTTTTTTTGGGGGGGGGCGGGGTGGTCAGAGGGTCCAAGATTGCCCTGCATGTCTTCAGTGGGACCCCCGATGCCCCAGGCCTCCAGACTGGCCCCAGATCACCGAAGATGGCTCACGATCGCTTCTGACAGACCTCCAGCATGCCCCAAGGCGGAGGAGGAGGAGGAGGAGGAGGAGGGCGAGGAGGAGGGAATGGGAATGGGAATGCCATCGAGCAAGAGTCCAGGCACGGACCCCTGCTGCGCTGAGGAAAGAGGGAGCTCGGCCAACCACTAGCTTAGCAGTCGGCCTGAACCCCTGGGGCCCTCACCCTCTCTTGGGGTACAGCCCTCGGCCCACGTGGGGCCTCTCCGTCATGCAGGCCTGGCGCATGGGCCTGGCCCAATTCCGCCACGGCCGACTCTCCCCGCGCCGCCCGCAGCAACCGCTGAACAATTCGGGCCCGCCGCTCCTCGTCGGACTCTGGCGACAGCGCCGAGGCACCTCCCCCCCACCCCCGTCCGACGACGACCTCCCGACCCCACACCCGCCACCCCCACACGGCCTCGCCTCCTCAGCATCGAGCCGTGGAGGCGCGCCAGGAGCTCCGCTCCCGACTGCAGCCCTCCGAGCCCCAGCAGGAGAGGGGCTTGCGATGGACTTGCCTGCCTCGGCAGGCGACAGCGGCGCGTCGGGAGCTCCACTCACAGCCCTTCGCACACTAGCCAGGGCCTGCACCTGAGCCTGGGGGCCGTCAGCCGACCCTGGGCCTGTCGGTCCCGCAGGAGGCTGAGCGTCAGCCAACGGCCCCCCCCCCCGTAAGGCGCGGGAGCTGGCCGTCGCCCCCCCCTCCCCCGCCAGGTCGCCGCAGCCCGACGGTTTGAATCCAGACCTAGGGGCCGCAGCGTCCCGTGGAGCCACCTCCGTTCTCGCAGCACAGAAGTCACCGAGCGAGCTCGCCCACTGCACAGTAGGCCTGCTCGCAGCATCAGCACTCCACCCCCCGCCCGACGTCGCCCCCCCGCCTCTACCTTTTCCACGCGGCCTCGCTCCGTCGGCCGCGAGCACTGGAGGCGCGCCAGGCGCTCCGCTCCTGACCGCCGCCCTCCGCGCTCTCGACTGGGAGTGGCCAGCAGCGGGCTCGCCTGCAGCCGCAGGCGACTGAGGCGCGTCGGGAGCTCCACCCCTGACCGCAGCCCTCCGAGCACGAGGTGAGTGTCAGCCAACGGCCCCCCCCTGGGAGGCGCGGGAGCTGGCCGTCGCCGTCGCCCCCCCCCCCCCCCCGCCAGGCCGCGGCAGCCCGACTGTGCGAACCCAGATCTCGGACCTTCAGCAGCCAGGGGAGCCGCCTCCAAATTCGCAGCACGAGTGTTTCCGAGCCTGCTCGCCCACCACACGGCGGATCTGCTCGCAGCGTCAGTGTCCCTTTCCCCCCACGACGGCTCGACGACGACCTCCCCGCCCCCTCCATCACTGCCAGACAGGCCTCCAGCACTGCCGGGCTCCGCAGCCTCCTTGTCGGGTGCACGATCGCCCGCGAGGGCGGCCAGGACCTCCTTGGCCCCCAGAGCCCTGCCCCTCTTGGGGTGCTGCCCCCGAGCCAGCACACGGAGAACACGCTTGCGACTCGTGGGCAACTCCTGCGGATCAGGGCAGGGGGGCGCGAACGCCCTGCCCACCCTGTCGGGCCCGTAGGCCCCACACCGCCGACACCACACCACCGTGCCCGCGACGTTGACGTCGTGTCCTCCAGGCACGAGGATGCTCTGCCCCTCGAGGCCCGCCCACCCAACCCCCAGACGGCCACCCCCGCCCCCGCGACCAGGAACCGAGCCCCCCGAGGCCCCGTCCCAAGAGGACCCCCCAGGCGCCCAGACAGGTCGGCGTTGGCGCGAGCCTCCTGGATCTTAGCTTACAGGAACGCCACAGCGGAGGGGACACATCTCTTGTCGGTGCCTCCCGCCAGCTCTCTGCGGGCCTCGGCTGTCTTGGCCGAACGTCGGCACCTCCTGCAGAATAACCTATCCCCTAGCTCAACCAGATCGTGTCCATGCAGCGCGAGAGTCAGCCTAGGTTGGGTCGGGACCTTGGCCCTCATCTGGCCGTCAGTGCCTTCGGCATCGCCCCTTTCGGACCACAGCTCGAGCCTACAGCTCCGCTGGACCGCCCAGGCGAGGCATCGAGCACACACCTTGGCACTCGAGAGGCAGTCCTTGTAAAACCTACAATGCCAATCAGGCAGCTTGACCGACCTGGCTCCAAGCTTGGCGAAAAAAAGTCCGCCCACCTGTTCTCGACAACCCAGGGGAAGGGAGGCGGGGAAGGACTACCAGGAGCGGGAAACAGCACATCCTCATCACTCAGGTGCGACGGCACCCAGGCGAATCTGGGAGGCTCACGCTGGAGGCTGCTGCGCTGCCGCCAGACACTCGGGTAAGCAGCGCTCGCAGCCGTCAAGCTCGTCACCTCACCAGCCTTCCACTGCTGCCCTTCATTCACAAACTCGAGCAGACCGCTTATACCAGCCGTGCTGACGGCATGTGCTGGAGGGCCTTGAGGCCCGCAACTCTCTCGGCCTTGCCTACCGTCTGCTGGCCGCCTGCCAGCCCCCCGTACGCCGCTCTCAAAGGGACGCCATTCGCATCCGCCACGACGGCAGACCATCCGCATCGACGCAGCTCGGGGACATTGCCGCGGCATCCCGAACCGTCCGTGAACACATTCTCGCTCCAACTGTCACTCGGCGACGACCAGTCACCCCAGAGGAAAAAAACGGCGGGTCCTCAGGAGGCGGTGGCACCTCAACTCGCGGCCACCGTGGGATCCCCACGCCAACCGCGAATGAGTCCGTGTCCTGGCGCCCCCCCCAACAGGCCCCTGCTCGAGCATCGCGTCCCTGGCCGCGGCCAGCTCGGGTTCGAGGCCGCACTCCTCTTCATCATCCAGCAACCGCTGAGTCAGCACTGGGCACTCGACAAAGGCATGCCCGAGGGACTCCATCCCATGCGGGCATGCTCTGCAGCCCTGCTGATCACAAAGTCCCTTATTATAGAGCTTGGCCCGTGGCCACGGGGAGCCAGCCCAGAGACTTCGAAGCGCCCCGCCCCCGCCCTCCCCGCCCCCGTCGCCGCCGCTCCCCGTCCCCCT